TTCAAATTTCTGGCGCGACATTCCCTATCTGAAGAACAAATCAGAGGCGATTGCAATGATCGTGAAACTATTCGGGACTGGTGCTACTCAAAGGTGAGTGTCAACCATCAGACAACAGATCTTGTGGCCCAAAGACCCGCTCCTTTTGGATTGTCTACAACATAGCATGCCAAAACTGCGATGCAAGGTATGTCTATAAAACGGGCGAACGCTTTGGCACAAGGTTGCGTGAGCATCAACTCACAATCACCGACAAGGATAAGTTGTCTATAGTCTATGACCACGCACAGCAGAATAATCACACGTTCACCTTTGGGAAAGCAAGAGTAATAGGCTGAGCCAATGACGACATAGCCAGATTGCTGCTAGAAAGTGGGTCCTCGACTGGGAAACATAACAGAGCCATATACCTTAATCCCGCCTACCAAGCCTTCTGCATAAGGCTATCGTCCGCTTAGACCTGAGCACAAGGTCAAATACACAGGACCGACGACCGGTAGCCACGAGCGAAGAAGGTGGGAACAATCAGGAGGCACACGAATGACTTGCCTCCTTTTATCGTGGAGGTGCGCGCGAGAGCGACAACAATTCAAACAGCCACCAGCAATCGATTGTTGCAGTCAATCAACGCACGGATAAAGCAAGAAGCTAGCGGTAAGACACGCTCATTGGACACCTGCAGTAGAATCGACGTACCCTCCGACGATAAAAACGAGAATGCTTTTGAAAACTCACTTCTACTCGCTTACCAAAACATTCAAAATAAGTTATATCATAAAAGCATTCATCTAAATAACGAGCTTTTAAACTTTGTTTCTTATGCACCTGTCTATGTGTCTCATGGATTCAGAACCATCCAAACATGTCAATTCACTGTCGAAAAAAATAAAGGTCCACGACAAAGGTCACGAATGACTAAAATTGATTTAAAAAATAATATAATAACCTATCTCCTGAAAGACAGCAGTAATTAAACATTTCGGCGTCGGATGCCTGCGTATATTTTTTTCTTGAACACTGAGTCAAATCAGAGATGGAAATTTTTGCCAGTTTATAGATGAGCCTAAAAATAATGGAGACATCTTGTGTTATAAATGAAAGAACTAAACCTTTGTATTTAAAATGGATCAGTTTTCGGTATATTTGGTTACTTCTGGGCTACGTTCTACAATAAAAAATGTAGAGCACAGAGGCAATAAAATCAACGGTGATTTTGGAGAAAACTGTTCAGCCATATCCTGCGACAACTCACTTAAATGTGTGTTCTGTTAACTGACTTCAACTCTTCACTGACCATAAAATTAATTTATATACATTATACTAATAAAGTCCTGATTCGCATTCCTTGCTTGCAATTCTTCAAATATATTATAAACATCTTAAATTGGGGGTATAGCAAGTAACAGCCTTAAAAGTGTATGGCACAAAACTTGGAAAATTTGCAAAATACGATTTTTTAAACTAAGTTTGCTCTTCCATTTCCACAAATAACGGGCTATCTCATAATAACAGAATATAACCAAAATGTTCCTGCTCTTCATTTATGTTCCTTTATAGTGCAACATTCGCAAATAGGTTCTTTTTGGCAACGCTTAATAGCGTAGAAAATTCCCCGGATATCAACAAACGCTGGATTTCGCCCATTTTTACCTCGATTTTCTCCCAATGTACTGATCTGAACGGAATGCAATTCTAGAAAACATCATTTTTCGCATTCAATTCAACCAAATGAACTAAATTTATAACCTCACATTCGTGTTAAATCCCCCAATCTCCGACCTTTCGTCACATATATAATCTACTGTACATATTTTCATTTGTATAAGGGTGCTCGCCGACCGAATAATAATCACTTGTCCTGTTTACTGACAAGTACAGTAATACGCCAGGACGCATAGTAATATAACATCCTTCACATTTGAATTCAAGCTTATTTAGACGTGGTTTAGATGCAAATCATGGCTACCTGTCGGCCTATAAGTCGCTGCGAGGCGCTGCAAAATTCACAATGGAAGGATAATTATGTTAAATGGGATAGAATAATGCTCGATCTCACAAATGCATAGAGCTCATAAAACTAACCTTGGTTCGTCGACTGGTATAGCCTGATACGTGTTAATTAGACCTGTGAATGCCGTCACCAAAGACGAAACATCGAATGCGTCTTCCTCGCCTTGGTTTGAGTTGTCACTTTCTTCCCTGAAATAATGCACGTTAACGAAAAAGCCAAAACGAACAATTGGATTGCATAAGCCGAAAAGAGCCAGCGAAATGAAGTTAAGAAAACACAAAACTATTACGAAGTTAACCGTTCTTTTGGGTATCAATACCAACGGCTTAACTGCCCGGCCTAATAATCGCGTCTGAAGATTTAAATAAGATGAGGTCTTGGTAGGTTATTTAGAAGGCACTTAATTTGTCATCAGTTGCTGCCGACGGTCCATCTACTAGACCAGAAATCGAACTTGTGTCCGTATGTACCAGTAACCAATACGACTACGCTCGCACTGCGTTTTACTTTCTGCAATCTGTAAGCACATATATGACTAAGATCAATCAACTGATTTAAATACGGTAAATACGAGACCGCTTATTTGCTCCTCTCAATTTTAAAACAACTTCACTAAAGTGAATGCACTATGTTACTTAATCGATTTTTTGCTGTCCTATCACGGACGCCAAGTCGTATTCTGTTGATTTATAGCTGAGTGACGTCGCCACTTAATCTCTGTAATTTCCCAATTACTGTGCTTAACGAAAAAGTAACTGCTTTTTTATCGTGCCCCTTGAATGCATCCTTCAGGCGATTTAATAAGGCAACGAATGTGCCTTTCGGTCATTTAATGTATTGGCGCTGTATCCATTGACTCTGCGATTCCATAATGACCACTAGGCGCTGACGTCCATTTACCGAGAATTCAGCCATATTTCTAATTATAAAATGCGAAGTCATCCATCAAGGGCCTGATATATGGAAACAGATACCAAAACGCTCTCTTTAGTTAATGTAAACTGTATGCAATCAATTCAGTTATTGTGACTTTTGTTAAGCTATCATCCATTTGCAATAAATTGCGCCAATTTTTTTTAAAAAAAAGACTTCTATTTTGTAAAGTAATAACAGCAAATATTTAGAGTTTTAAGCCATACATTTGCACTAAAATGTGGTTTATCTGGAAAGTGGAATAGAAAAGGCGAATGAATCAGTCAGTCATATCTCATGTTAGTTACTACTGCTTGTTATGAGTAATTTAGTTCAAAAAGTGCACTATTCTATTGACCCCGACAGTTTTAAATGTACGGTATCACTTTAAAATATATGTGGCTATTAGGGTTTGCTCGATCTTATCAGGAGTGCAATACCTTGCAAATCATCAAGGTATATTTATATTTTTGCTCTGTGTCTCTAAGTTTGAATCAGAGTCCTCACGTAAGTGCGCCTTTGGGCATTTAAATGATTGCTATGGGCTCCCAAAATAGAGACCTGCTTGCATTCTATTAACACATGCAGTCAGGCCAATCAAGCTAATGTTCCGGCTATTCTCTCCAATTCCTCAAAAATTTCCTTACGCCTCTTTTGCGAAACTTCGCCACTGCACAACGTTGACATGCCAAATTTGGGCAAAATATGGTAGTGGAACGAGTGTTTCTATTTGGCACGTTAAAAAGTATGTGCGCTTTGCCATGGCCAAAAATGCAAAATTTGATGCAGTCAGGCAACAAAATAATGCTTACGGAGGGTTCGTCGAGTAACTGTTGTCCCATATATTTGTCAATAGTCGAAAGTCCAACATAACTTGGTGGAGCTGCATTTCAATGAAAGACGAGAAATTGTTTTAGATTTATTCTCCCAAGTCCATTTTAGATGACAGTCCCGTTAATCTTTCTTTAAGAATCTAGTTCAGGTTAAGAAGGCTTGGCTGCCCACGACATACATAGGTAGCTTCTCGACAAAACCTTTTTGAAATGTTGACGGAAGGCTAGATGTTGCTTTTTAAAACCCGGACTGATGGCAGGAGGCATTCCTAATTCACATTGACATTATGTTTACGTAAATGGTGACCACTTGTTATCTTGTCCACCAGAAGTTTATGACGATAACTATGCTTTTTAACGACTTTTTTATACCTTAAACTCTATGTTATGCCTAACGTGCATTTTGAAAACGATTTATATAACCACCAAAGTCAGTGTCTTATCTGGGATGCAATATTTCCTTTGTATACAGTGAAGCGAACGCCTGAGCTTCCTGGTATTATCGGATATATTTTATGTCTATTAAAGAGCTTGGCAGATTGGAAGAAAAACAGTCGAGCCAGTTGTGAAAAATGTGTGGCCTCAGTGGGCTTGGAAACCACATCTACGGAAGTCTTTGATACAACTAATACTCTCCCAATTGAGCTAGAAAAGCATGCTGAATGCCGCGAATTTAATCACATTTGCTGCGATTAAACCGCTAAGCCTGCTTCCCGTATGGAATTCAACCATAGGGATACACTGAGCTGACTGATTAGACAGGATTTCCTAAGCCATCATCTTAAATCCAATAGAATGCGTACCAGGCTCACTTAAGTATTACCAGAGTTTGGCAGATAAGAATAATTCAGTTGAACAAATGGTAGATGTCATACGTGCAGTTGGCTGGGCGGGTGCACAGACCAAAGAGTAATTAAATTCACTGTTCTTGGCGCGCCTTCGTAGCTCAATTGGTAGGGCGTTGGCTGAACTACAGCCTTGTCTGCAGATTCGGGTTTGATTCCTGCTGACACCAGGCATTTTTCACAATTGGGTCAACTGAATTTTCATCTTTCTTTATCAGGCTAAACTCTTAGCTATAAAATTCACAATGTGCATATGGTGAGCTGCAATTTTATATCCTTCAACACTACGCTGATATAGTTTACAATGTATGATGTGCTTAAATGCAAAAGGATGATAAATTGCATAAAGCATTAAGGTAAATCAAAGGCAAACAGCTTTTTTATATTCAGGATTTATGCTTATGTACTCACATGCTCAAAGATTTCGCTGCGTACTTCCACACCATAAATCCACGAATCATCATCCTCATCAAGTACCTCGACAAAGGCAAACTCCATGTTTGCTCGAACGTTGGTTATCTCCTCCTTAAAACTCACCAATTTATCTATATCCTGAATAAGAAGACATGTTAAGATGAAATATTTGGGCTAGATCGAAAGAATTTGGGTTGCAAGATTTGTTCAGTTTTGTCTAATTTTGTTTTCCGTCCATGCAATTGAAGTAATTGAAGATAAAACATGATTATCGGGAAAAAAAGAACGAAATTAGTTTTCAAATGTTTTCTTACAAATCTGTTTGGTTTTGTGCCCAAAGTATGAGTACTAATTTATAAGACCGACTTTTGTTTTCCTATACCGAAATTGGTGACTGCATTTGACTGTGCATTTAATGTCACGAACTGTCAAAGGTTTTCTCTAAAATACGTTAACTGAACCCCGTGTAAATGTTTTCAAAATATAGAAGAAAATCAACGAAGTTGCCCATCATAAATAAGCCCTATTACTCTCGTTCCCACATAGCAGAAAGCGCGCTGTTTAAAACTCATTCTTGAACGCGATGGAAAATTTTTACGATATTGCCAACTCTTTATTTAAGAAAACAGTGAAGTGCCTGTGATTGTACCCCTATTTTTAAATTCATTAACTGAAAGGTTATAGTGGTTTTCTTTATTTTTCGTACTTTTTTCGCATTTGGATGCGATATTTTGCATTTAAATCTTTTGGTATTTTAACCATGTTTATCTTTTTATATTTTATATTTTAAAAAAACGATTTTTGATTGCCTGGGAACGCAAACGGATTATTGCACTCATTTCAAAAATATTGTTTTCTACCTAAAGTCTGGTAAGAAATTACGTATCGTTTACATTTTGTAATGGATAGGGCTTATTTATTTGGCAAATACTGCCCATACATTTATTTGTGTAAGAGGATCACTTTGTAAGCTGCAATAATTTTAGTAAAAATTACAATGTTCTATATGGGAACGCTGTTTGGTATTCATTTAAATTTTCATAATAGTGCCTACTTTAAAAACCCAAGATAGAAATATTAAGGCCAGATTAACTGCTAGTCAATGTGTGCAATAAAATATTGTTTTGAGTGTTAAAAAATATAAGCAGTTAGCCGAGGTAGTAAAATGTGAATTTTACTTTAATCTCTTAAAGCAGATAAGGTAGGCATTTTCGAACATACATTCTCTGAGTCTAAATGTTTTGCCCTCTCGAGGATCGAAGACCGCTCTTCTGACAATTTCCGAACTTGTTGTTTTACAGTATTCGCAAACATGTTTATCATGGATACGGTTGCGTTACCAGTATTTTTTGTCGTCCCGAGGGAGCGAACAGCCTGTTGGAGCAGTTCTTCGCTTGCAGAGTTGACCTCCTGTTTGAGGTTCTCCTTGAGCGAAACTTGTTTTGTTCTTAAAATTAGGAGGTCGCTTGTCAGAGTATCCAATATGTCTAATTGTGACCGCAACTCACTGAGTTTTGTCTCCACGCGAACACGCACCTAATTGGAATTTTTAAAAAACACAGTAAAAAGACTTAAATGTAGCAGTACTTGCAAACATGTGTAACTCTTTTTTAACGTCTGCTTTATAATTAACAGGAACATGTGATTCCTCCTTGCCTAACTGCGTAAATACACACCACGACCAGAATCTTCGGCGCAACATTGAATCCTACGGATTTCTAAGAGAAGAATTTGATTGGGACGTATTTTGCTATCGAATTGACACTACGAAGAATTCCGTCGAACGTACCTTAGATTATTGACTTGCAATAGCATAAAATAGTTGTTTCTTCCACATGTAATCATTCATAACATTTTTTCTGCTTTTAATGTGACCATAAGGTGTTCAGACAAAATAATTGTATCAGTTACAACGATTCAGGTGCTATGCTGCACACTCCTCAAAACCATCCTACACATAGTTTCTGTAAGTCTGACATTTCGAACAAAGCCAAGTATTCAACGCAGTTGGCATGAACGCGATGGTGTGCACCACTCACCTCTGCTTCCTCGTCACGCGTGTTTTGGATGAATTGTAACGGCTCAGGGATTCCGGGCTCCAGAAGCATAGTAGAAGTCTCGATAAAGCAGAATGGGCATGTAACGGTATCTGTGCTGGCATCATCGGGTAACAGGCAGGGATAAAGACAGAAGGTGCAACCGCATGGCAATGTTTGTGGGTTGGTGGCTCTGAACGGGAAAAGGGGATGAGATTAGTGGGATACTTTATTGGATGTTGACATCAAACACTAACGTCGGAATATTACGTAAGAAATGATATGTTAAGCTGCTGATTTATAAAAGACCTACATATATGTGTGGGAATTTTTCCGTGGTTAGAATTCTAAGATAATAGCGGGTCTACTTAAAAGGGGCCCGACCTAATCTCCTTAGGGAATTCAAGCAGTATTTCTGGCCTTTAACCTTCAGGCTGGAGCAGCATCAAATGCGGTTGCATAGGCGATGACAATCAACTGCCACTTAGCAATGGAAGAAATGGCAGATGATAGTACTAAAACATATTTTTCCAATCCGGAATACGCGCGCGAAACATCGCCGTAGTCACATTTTCTCTTCACAGCACATTCATGCCATTGTTACTTGCTTTGGCAAAAAATAGGCAGAAAAGTAGGAAATAAGAGGTAATACATAACCCAATATACTTAACGGCATCTTTGAACTATTTTATTCTGGTGGTCTGTGTCAAATGTTCATTCCTCAACCCGCAGGTGACAGCATATAAGTACTCCGCGCAAACGCACCACCGTGGTGTACGGATATTTATTAACCGACAAGGTACGCATTGGTCTTCCATTAAAGCCTTTGAATCCCCTTAGAGCACAAAAGCTGATAGATGTTCGTTATTTTACAGAGTAACCCGTGATCATTTTGGTAGAAAGAACTGACAGGAAGCATAAAGGAAATGGATAAAACTATGTACAAGCATTTGGCTGATAATGGAGTATGTATGTTGAACAACAAGTCGTGGGGAACACATTTCCTGTTAAGGATTATAAAACAAAATCAATATTTCTGCGTCTGAGTTAAAAAATGGCTATTGGCACTGCCTTACTTGGCAGCTGAAGACGGTCAATTAATTCAGATTTTTTGTCAATCCACACTCGCGATGGACAGAAGGCTATTAAATTTTGAAAAAAAAACAGTGTTTGCTTAGCGATAGAAGAACGATTACAGACTGGGCTAGGTAGTAACATCGCATGCCATAATTTCGCTTAACTGTGGTAAAAATAGTACACACTGCCAGAAGTTATTTAAAAGTAAAACTGGCAACCTGATGAAAGGCCGGTGTCACAAGGCGTTCTGTCCAGATTGGAAAACGTCAGATTTCTGAACAAAAATGTTGCATACAACATTATTATAAAACTGGTCATAGCGTGCACTTTGCACTTCATATAAATTCACTAACCCGCAGCGGTTAAAAAAATGCCCAATCGTTAGTAAAGCCAACGTTCCCGGCGATAAGGATCCTGTTAAATTGTGTTAAGGGTTGCACTATCGCGGCAGCAGTTGTTGTTTTTCAATGTGTTTTAGCGCCAGGAGAACAGGCTTCTAGTAATGAAAATGACGTTAACCATGTTACGGCGTAACATTTGCAAAATTGCAAACTAGAATATACCAAAAGCTGTTATTGGCGCCCACAAATAAGGAAAATCTGTATCGAAGCACATGTAGTGGAAAGATCAATAGAGGTTGAGGGTAAATATGCACAGGTCTGGGAGGATTTTTGAAAATGTTTCCTGAGGCTTTACAAACAGGTCAGGTGTATCAATCATCTCTCCTAAGAGACTTAGTTTAAAATATATATGAAAAAACACCATTTGAGGTACTAAGGCGGCATTTGCTTATGCCTTGGGAAGTATATACAAATTTAAACGAAAATACACCATGCACATTACCAAGTATCGTAGAAGTATCAACTGCATAAGCATTATATATGGTCTTATGACCGCATGACATTGCTATGTGTAACGGTAATAGGTATCACAAAATTGGCATATCAACCACTGGCAATTCCTTGTCGTCGATATGAACTACCATTTTTTGCACTAAACTACGACATAGTAAACGTTAATTTAGTGACCGATTGTTGCACCGCGAACCTAATGTCATCGCCATTAAGTGAAAACAAAGCTCTGAAAAATACTCAAAACTCACGTTTTCTTGCACAGCGCGCAGCGACCTGCTTCGAAATCCATAGCTGAGTAATGTCAACTGTAGCTGACAACTGACAATGCAGTTTCAGATCTTTGAGAGTATTGCAGATGATCCAATGAATTTCGCTGTCAAACACCCATGCACACAGTAGCGTCACGCAAATGGCTAAAGTCTTGCAACGATAGCCAATGTGAGCATTCAAAGACGCAGCACTGCTACTGATCTGAGACTCGTGTTACAGACAAGACAATTATCCTAATCAATAGGACATGCGCGGGGCTGCTGAACCGTTGAGACCTTAACAAACCGCATTGAAGCAACGATCAGTCTATTAACTGATAGTTACTGACAAAGGCTGCAAACAAACA